CATGTTTTAAAGTTAATTCAATTTTATTTTTTATCCATCAGAGCATTTTAGTAAATTTAGAAATAAAAAGGTTATAAATTTTTTAAGTAGATTGGTTTGATAGACCAGCCTAGTCTCGCTGTTTCTCCGCAATTAGATACATTTACCGGTCGTAGAAGGATAAATACAAAACTAACTTTCATGGGCTTAAAAATTGTCGCAATTTTACTTATTTCTACACATTAAACCTTTATTTTTTGCATAGATGTTGCGTTTCACAAATTTCCGAAAAATGTGTGTTGATTAGTGACCGTTAGTGGATTATTATTCGGAAATCGTGACATCCCGTGTGATTGTAGGTTTCAGAAAAACATTTTCTTTGTCGTGCCAACGTTTCGATCTTTATTGAGATCATCTTCAGGGCCTGGGATTTACTAGCATTGTTTAAATTTAACAAATACATGTAGGATGTGGAAAAAAGTGAATTTATACAATGCAAAAAAAATATTTTTTTATATTCAATCAACGTATTTCTACCCACTCAAAGTGTTTGTTTTCTGCGTAAAAAATATTTTTTTTGCATGGCATAAATTCACTTTTTTTCCACATTCTACATGTTTTTGTTAAATATAAAAATGTTTGTAAATCCCAGGACCTGAAGATGATCTCAATAAAGATCGAAACGTCGGCACGATAAAGAAAATGTTTTTCTGAAACCTACATCACACCAGATCGCATCTCACGATTTCTGAATAATTGCCGAAAAAATCTAATTTTGTTGTTGAAGGTTGGATCAAACAGGTCCGTTGTTGTTTCTTTACTTTTAGATAAATTTACAAGAGGGCATTATATGGAAAAACATGCCATTATCACAAAACCGTTCCATCTTGGGTTTAAACACATACTAAATTTTATTTCTTCCAACCTTCTAAACAATTTTTATAACGTTTATTCATGTCATCAACAGTTTATTTGTCACTAGTCTATAAAGCCTGCCTGGGATAAAATTTAAAAATCCCAAGAGCCAGACTGCGTTTTTTAAAATAAATAATTGGTGCGGAGAGTCATGGCGTGCTCCCGGAAATAAGAGGCCCCCAGGCTTTGTTTCCGGTTTAGAGATGAACACCTTTACCAACTCGAAATCCAATATCCGACCAAAGTCATGCCCCGGCATTAAAGCTAATTACACGACTGGCCTTACAGCCCCAGACGGATTTTCCAGGGAATAAAGAAGGAAACAAGACGGATCAAAGGAACTTTGAAAAACTCAAAGAAAAAATACCCTCCCCCTTCATAAAAGGAATTCAATTAATCAAGGTATATACCTTGACTTGAATAATCGGGATAAAATTCAGGAAAAATCGCTTAAATGTGACGTGAAGACATCGTACTTAGAACACCACGATCCATTGTTGTTCCACTCTTTTAGGCAAATTTCTATATAATCATTGATGAAGAAAATAGGGGAAAACAGGAGAATAAACAACAGAAATCGAGTTCATGTACGTATTATTTAATAAAAAAGACATAAGTGAAGAAAGTGAAATTGAATGCATCAAGTCAAGGACGGTCATCGTTCTACTGAGTGAAAACAGTTGTCCTTCAGCACTCATTGCGTCCAGACTAATACTTTTGAAGTTAATTACATTTTAAATCAGCGTGGTTAGAAATTATGTAAAATACGATATACAAAAACTCTAAAATAATGAATCCAAGGCAATATTCTTCCATTAACGACTAAGATGGTTTTGCTCTACATCCACACCGATTTATAATTTCAACGTAAACGCCAGTTTATAAACGGAAGGAGAGCCGTTGAATCGATGCCTTGGGCCGAGGGAGAATGAATATTACCCGAAGTAAAGTTAAATTGAATCTTTCCGAGGGTGTAGTAGTGGAAGTGGAGCCTATAGGACATTTCCCTCGACTCCAGAAAATAATTTATCCCCTTTTGTGTGCACCCTCTTTATCGTGTTCGAACTCAGTTTTACATACTTTCACCGAACGGCTATTGGATCCAATTGCTAAATCTGTTCGACGCCGGTAAGTGGATAAATTTGTCACTCCCTTTATTCTGTTATAATTCTCTGGGCGTCCTAGATCACCTCGGCCCTTCTAACCTCCTTAGTTTTGTCTATCTTTCTACTCGCTCTTTTTATAGGTTGGTCGATCATTTTGTCAAACATGTTCTGTTCGTTTTAAGTTATTAAATAATTTACTAATTTCGTGGTCCGCTTGACCAATTAATATATTACAATTAATTAAGGTTTTTAGTCGAGATAAAAAAGTCAATGGCACGAGCGGGATTCGAACCCACGATCTTCGGCTTGATACGCCGCTGCTCTACCACTTGAGCNCTCTCTCTCTCTCTCTCTCTCTCTCTCTCTCTCTCTCTCTCTCTCTCTCTCTCTCTCTCCCTCTCGACTTTATCTATCCATTGTCTTCTCTATTCATTATCTTGCCTATTTAATTAACTAACAGTCTATCCAGCATCCAAGATCATACTCTATCCGATTTTATCTCTCTCGCTCTCTCCTCTCTCTTCCTCTCTCCCCTATCTATCTAAATTTCTACCTATCTATATCTATCGGTCTATCTATCTGCTTTCGCTACGTTTTTAATTATCTATTCCATTACCTCCTTCTATCTCAATTTTATCACTCTTTTTCTCTCACTCTCTCTCCTAAGAATATTTCCGCCAGTACGATTGCCCATGTGTAACACTTATTTACGTTTATAGCGGGGTAGGTAATAAACAGGTGTTTTATATCGCCATGGTTTGGTGATAAATCATAATTTCTGTAAATCCTCGAATTAATCCGTGAAAATACATTTATACCCTTTCACCGACCTAGTGGTGGCTACAGTAAATCACTTGTTTCGTTTTGGACAATGACAATTAAATCTCTCACCTCCCTTCTGCTAAACCGCCTCCAGCCCCAATGGCTTGTGTATTTTACCGAGCGAACCACCCTGGCGAACTGGAAATCTCATAATTAACTGAAAACAACTTCCAAACCCGGTGACGTCGGGCGATAATTAATTTTTCTCTCCTCTAATTCTGACAGAGAGGGTAGGATACAACGGTCGAAATCCCTGGAAACCTAGAAGCGCGTACGTGTGATAAAGGCAAACGCAAATATTTTGCTTTTTTTATTAGGAAATGGACAATAAACCTGTCGGTTAAAAAATTTGGTTTAAACAAAATGTATAATAAATTGTATGAGGTATCTATAGATGCATGGGTTCAGCCCTTCCGTTTACTTCTGAATCCGGTAAAAACTGACAAAAATTCGGACTTCTATGCAGAACTTATGATTTTTAATTGTTCTTCAGACGCACCATTCACACTTGAGGAATGGCTCACTACAAAATAAGTTAAAAGATCACAATGCACCGGGCCCAGATAGAATTCCTCATGAGTTTTTTTAAATATGTAACACGTTTACATCTGGGCACCAAAAAGGAATGGGAAAGAAAGGGAAATAACTCCCTCAAAAATGGCACCATCCTTCGGTACACAGATGGATTCAGAACACAGGAAGGTACGGGGGCAGGAGTGTTTGGACCTGGAACCAAATACTCAGAACCCATGGGAAAGTACANACTTATTGGACATAGACAATCCAAGAATCTTCTAACCAATTTTGGCAAGAAAGAAATCACAGAATGTGTCAATAGACTGCGAATCCTAACAGGATACTTCTATTTTCAATAATCTGAATGACATAAAATGTTAGCTAATATCAGTTGGAACATGTCAAAATGACAAAATTTAAAATTATGGTCATGATTGCACGTTCTACTGAGGTTACAAAAAAATACCGACAATTTGTCAAATTTCACAAAAACTTCTTCATCTAACATGCTTTACGTTGATTTTTCAACTCTACTTATTAACGTTATTGAAAAACCTGGATATATCAGATTATTGCAAATAGAATTATCTTACAGCAAATTTAGCGTTCTTTCAAATGGTGTAATTGGATTTATTGTAGTCTCGACATTTTGGAAGTTGTAAGAGTTTTTATGTGGTAAGGTAGTGAAAAGTTGAAAAAACCTAAATTGACGAATATCTTCAAAATAGAGAACTTTCCGAAAATTTTCTCCTGAGCATTTTTTGGTCCAAACGAAGAGTAGAATCGATTCCCTGAGTTTCGTCACAAGGAACACCCTGTATAATTTCAATTGTGTCATATTTTATTGAGCACTGCGAAGTTATGAGCGTGTGGTTTCCTACGAAACGTCACCCTGGTTTGACCGACGTTATGGCATTTACTACACTTTAAGTGGTTAGTGTATGAAGTAGAAAAAAAGAACAAAACATATGCGAAAGCGCACAGATCCACCGCTGAAGATGGTCAAATGCTTAAACGGAATTTGTGGTGGGTAGGGAATGTCAAATTTTATAGATTATTGCTGTGTTAAAATATCATGAGAAGCTTTTTGTGGTTTTGTATCTGTTACTTGCGTCAACCAAACCTTTAAAAAAAAGTCCCAGTAAATCATCTTTTGTGGTTTATCGTGGAGTATTGAGAGCGTTTACCATACTGCAAATGGCAAATTAAAATCGCTTCCTTTTGAGAGAAAACTGATTAGCCGAACCAGCCTTGATCCCGGTTAAGGCCGTAATAGAAAGGGGTCGGAAAGGATATTGCAGAAAAGAACCGTTTTTAATCTTAAGTGAATGTCCAGGCCGTGATTCCTGCTTGATAATAGTCCCATTAAACACAGGACAATTATTCTTTCAAAGCCGTTGAAAGCAATTGTGGCCTTTAAGCAATTTATGGACAGTTCAATTTTGAATACAGCATTATTTTCGTTGAAATGACTTACCATTCTTAGAAAGACAACCAAGACCTCTCGAGTAATTTTACTCGATATGACAGTACAATACTAACCAAACAGATTTGAATTAAGTCACTACTAAATGTACACATTTACACGTACGTGATGGTTAAATTCATCATGACATGGTAGAACGCCTGGCAATTAGCTTAGACTGCTTTTAAATCACTCACCTCCTCCATTTTTGTAACATAGGTATGGGAACCTCCATACATTGGCGAGGTCGACGGCGAACCCGATGACCGAGAGGAGGAAATCCACTTTCCCGGACCATGTCTCCCTTAGGTCGCCCGTCGACACCGGCTCGCCCACCTCCATCACCCCCGCACCCTGTAATAAAAATAAAATATATTAAAATGAGGTTGGCATCTTACAGTAACGAGTAGTTAAGATAATCGTATAAATCTTCCTTAGTTTAAGAAAGACTGAAGGTTATAATCTTACTTTTTTCTTGGGTCTTTATTATTACAGTATAACTCACAAATATAGTACCCACACATAATATAAATATGTTAGTTCGTTGTAGTGTTGTAAACATACCACTACACTAACTACAAATCGTAAGACTACATATTGGATCTAGTTAAGGTATCGACGTCGAGCATTGGACGTTGATGAAGCATTAAACATCATGGACTAAAGCTGCTTTATGTTTTCTCTATGGTGTTCTTCATTATCTATGGTTCTAGGTCCTTAATTTGAATCAGTTGTCGGTGTTGTACGTTTGAATTTGCTGCTTGAGCCTGGCCAGCTTTTGTCGCTTTCGTCGTATACCTTCCGTTTCGGAACATTAGTGTGGTCACATGTACGTTCGTTCTGGTGAAGCAGACACGTCTTTGACTTCCCTCGGTTTGATCCGTCACTTTGACATATACTGAAGAGTGTCGATTGATCAGCGAATTTAGCCTTGGTATTTGACTCTTATTCTAGTGGGCGTTTAGTTTAAAGCACAGAGCTATTGCATTTCTGTCATGGTCATTATTGGATAGTTTTGCCCTTGCAAGGAAAGAGGATACTTCATCGCTTCGCTGTTATGACCTGAACCCTTTTGTGATTATCTAAATGAGTATCTTAGACAAAAAGACGGATGAAAATGGAAAACACTAGAATTCACTCGACCTCCAGCGAGTTTCGGAAGGAAAGAAGCATCAGAAGGCATCAAAAGAAGCAAGAGAAACTTCGATTCCTAATTCTTTACAGGACACTGCGAACTGGAAGGGCATTTGAGGAAGAATAGTCTAATCCAACACGTTACGTGCAAATTCTGTTGGGAAGAAGAGGAAACACCACATGCCTACTTTCAAACTATGGTGTTATATTTCCCTGCAGGAGGAAATGGATTGAGACCAGCAGAAGAAATTAACCCAATGAATTCGAGCTACTAGTCAAATTCCTTGATGAACTAGGGCTCACCGGTGTGAGAACGGGGGAAAGGTTTAAAAGGACGTAGTATATTCACACTACGATTACTATATCTACATCTATATTGGATAATTTTTTTCACTTCTTACTTGATTGCTACATAGAGATGGTACAATAACCAAGTGTGTTTTTTTCAGGACTTAAATGTTTTTGTTCGTATCATGCTTGGCTATTCTGTAGTCCACATGTACCGTGTAAAGCAGAATGATATGTAAGAACTGGCAATCACCAAGTTTATTTTTATTAGAATGTAGATGTTTTTGTTGAAATCTTGTTCACGCTGGTGTAGCCCACAAGTACTTTGTAACTTGGTCAGACTTGGTTCATCATTTTGCGGCTCATTGACTGTAGATAGTTGATTGCCATGATCAGCGAGGTAACATTCCTTTTTACTATGACTACTAAGTAAGAAAAACTGGCTGCCACAGTTACTTTTTATTAGGATTTGATGTTGCTCGACCATGCTGGTGCACCTGACACGTCATTTTTTTTACTTAATGCAGTTTGACTGACCACTTAGCGGCTCATTGTAAAATGATTTAAATTAATTTATAATTGTTACGTAAAGAGTGGTAGAGATGAAAAATAGTGTCACGAGGGGGACTCGAACCCACGACCTCCTGCTCAATACGCCGCTGCTCGACCACTTGAACGTGACTTCGGTCCCCCCAAGACACCAACTAATTTTCATCTCGGCCATAAAATTTACATAGAAATTATAAATCAATTTAAATCATTACATTACGCTGCGCGGCGGCGGGAGATAAGTGCGGCGAGCAGCGTTTGGCGCGTGAAAGGAGAGGTTTATTTGCCGTTGACAGTTTCTCACGTTCATTGTTGTCCAACCAACCAACTAAAATACACATCATTGGTGTAATGTTGATTATGACGTTCAGTGAGGGTAGCCTTGGTATTTAGCTCATGTAGTAGTAGTGCTTGGGTTGGTGGGTAGTCTTCCTACTGCTTACTTCTTTTCTTACCTCATAGTAACAACTTACAATAACTGAGAACTATTTGTCTTATATATCGTGGATCAATATTAGTTTCTATAGTCTGAACCAGATTTATATTTGTTCGTTCTTAACATGCATTTCTTGATAAAACTAGCAAGTTGTACCTTACTATTCAAAACACGTCCTAGCTTTGGGTTGCCATAAATTTAGAAATTTTTGATTTTGGTCAATTAGAATGAGGCTTAACAAGTGTTCTTAAGACAGAACTATTAAGCTTTTTGTTTTTTATATTGTTGGATATGTCAAGGTATGTGTTAACCTTTGTGAGGATTAATTATAATTAAGTTTATTCATTTTCGCTTTACTCTATTATAACTTTTTTTATTGCAAGCTTTTAGCCTTTTTCTAATGGACTGACCTTTTTAAAGTCTCCTTTGACGGAGAGTACAGGGCGGTACGGTGTTCGTAAGGAGCGGTTTTTCTGCCCAGGCGACAGCTCGTCCAGATGGAGTCAAACACGAAACTGGTTCTCAACATCGAAAGTGTTGCAAACTGTTGCTTAATTCACAACAGCCTTCAAACCGGCGTACACTCGAACAAAGCCCCACCTCGCGGTTTTTCATTCCGAGCTACTCGTCTGGGAGAAAGGAGAAAGAAAGCGTTTTTTCGCCGAGGGTAAAAGAAGAAAAAAAACATATATAATGGTGTGCATAAAGGACTAATGGAACTGAATAAAGATGTGCAACTTATGTTTTATTCATTTCTATCCCGTATGTTAATCTTGAGATTGGACGGTCATTTATGGAATTCGCTCAGTGAAGCTGAGAACGACCATTGTAGAATCTGGCTTTGAAAGAGGTCGAGGACGTGTTTGCACTATTCAACTCAATTGAACAGTTTAATATTAATTCGGGACGGCTCACCTAAAGCAAACAGAAACCCTATTAACATACTAAATTCGGGAGTTTTAAACTGGATTTCTTTTAAATGCCTTTTAAACGAGTCGCTTTTCAAAGAAAAGCCTCAATATGAGTTGCGATTGTTAAGACTATTGAAGATTGCTTTTATACAATAGACAATATAAAAGAGCAGATAAGTGGACAAATCCTAGAGGACTGTAACATTCAAACCGTATTTATATTGATAAAATAGGAGACCACCTAAAAATCTGCATTTTTTAAACATTATTATTCATGACTGAATTTATTAAATGTGAATCAAAAGAGTTTAATTTTTTTTGTTCTCCAAGGGTAAATTCAAAAAAGACCGTTCTTTTCTTGATTGAATTGGTGAACCACTTTGATTTCCAAAGTTATTGTTTTTATATTTTATTGTTATTTCTGATTGTTTTTTGCTTTTATTAACTAATAATAGTCACTATCCAATTTTAATTTTTTTGTATTATGACCTGCCCATGACGTACCCACCAATATTGGGTCTCTTTCTCTCCCTCTCTCCCCTCTCTCACTCACTCTCTCTCTCTCTCTCTTTCTCTCTCTCTCTCTCTCTCTCTATCTATCTATCTATCTTTCCATATATGTTTTTCTTTCACTCTTACTCTTACTCTCTTCTCTCTCTCTCTCTCTATCTATCTATCTATCTATCTATCTATCTTTCCATATATGTTTTTCTTTCACTCTTACTCTTACTCTCTTCTCTCTCTCTCTCTCTATCTATCTATCTATCTATCTATCTATCT